GATAGGACACAAGAGGATCTGAGTGCTGCTGCTCTCCTCTTCCCTTTTAGTTCTGACTGTGTCTGTCTCTTCACCATTGTGAGCAGATCTAAAACCCCTGTCCTTTCCAAAGCTGGCTCTCCATTTGATGTGAAAAGATAATGAAGAGTCGCAGTTTGATCTGACAGAATGGTGGCTTTACTGGTGGCATTCTGCCAGCATTTGTTCAGTATGATCTACAGCATTAGTTGTATAATGTGTCAAAGGTGCAGATGGCTGAGTGAACAGTTTTAGGATACCACTATTAAGTTAGGTTTTGTTTTTAGCAATTGCTGTCACAGCAACATCTTGGTACCAATATCATGGGTCCAGAAACCTGCCTTCATAACAAAGGCTGTGTTTGACATCCCATTTACAGATTTAGAAAGCCACATTTCTGTCATTTGGAATGGAGACCTTCTGTTGTGAATGTGTGAAGAGGACAGTGGAAGAGCTGAGCAGAGGACTTCTGTGTGCTGGATCACAGCTTTCTACTGGAGCTGCAGTCAGTAGCCCGAGGTGCCTTTCAGCTACTGCACTGAAATTACCTGGCCTCTGTGGTCCTCCAAATACCTGCTGAAAAGCATCCTGAGAAGCCAGGCCAGAATCAGTTTCAAGTGAAATGTATTTAATAGTAAAGGCAAAAAATAATAAATAATAATTTAAGTTGTTGTAAATCATCACTTCTGAAACATGTGGACAGTTAAGTAAGTTTGGTCTTTCCTGGCTGGAAAGTAGAATTGCATTCTGCCTGTAGCTGCCAAAACCTGACTGCCCAAGCAGAATATTGGGTTCATTAGCACCCACAGGAAAGAGTATTTCAGAAGTGCTGGTGGAGGGAGGGGGTTACTCAGTTATTTATAAACCAACACCTGTGAGCCACTTCTGCCAGCAAGGAGTGGTTCTGGAAAAATATAAATGATTTCCTTCTCTTCTACTCATTTAAGAGCTGGTAACTCATGTTCCACCTCTTTGCCCATGCCCAGCAGTAGCTGTCCTGCCACTGATTTTTGCTTCATCTAACCAAAAAGCTGTTTGTGCAAGACTGGGAGGCTCTGTCTGTTATAGTTTCTCACATCTTGTTACTTATTGCCATTGTTGGTGCCAATAATAACTGCTCTCGAGGGCACAATAGTGTTCATTGTAAGACCCCACACCAGCGTTACATTTTGGCTATTCCTGGTGAGGAGTGAAGACACAGCAGCTCTTCACAATTTTTGACACTTGTGCTGAATACAGGTTCCAGCTTCATTTCTTAGTCTCTTTATGGCAGTAGCGGCACTGCCTTTGCGAGAGAAACCTCTGATTACATGTACATCTGTGGCATGCTACCCTTCATCAGGTCTGTTACTACTGCTTGAAAAGGCATTTGGAGCAATAACATGTACCAGAAAAGTTTCAGCTTCACCACTGACAATTTTTTCTTTTGGAATGTTTTGAGGAGACAGCAGGAGGAAGGGGTATAATAAAAAGCATTCATTATCTGCTCTTTATTCTTTTCTCTTCATCCAGATCCCCTACTGCACAGCAGCCTTGCTTATTTTTATATGCATTCTGATAGTGTGGGGAAGCATTTCAGGGATAGCGTTATGTCTTTCTACTGGAGACTCATTATTTTGTTGCATGCAATCCTCTAAACTCTGTCCATGCACTCATCTAGGAAATTTTATCTTCTACACCTTTATTTTCACCACTGAGGCAAAGGCAACCTGAAAGTTCAATTTTTATTCTGGTGTAACAAAACCATGCCTTGGTGGATTTTGTGATCTCGAGGAATGCAGGCCTGGCAAAAAGCAGCCAGGGCCCTGTGCTTCAGGAGAGCAGAATTCCAGTGGCTCAAGGAATTGCTGAATGGGATTCCCTGGGAAACTGTCCTGAAGGGCTCTTTAGGAACACCTTTTTGCGAGCACAAGAGCTCTCCGTCATCCAGCAGAAGAAATTGAGTAGAGGAGGCAGGTGACCAGCATGGCTGAGCAAGGACCTGCAGCTTAAACAGAGAAAAGAGGGAAATGTACAGAAAGTGGAAGCAGGGTTGTGTAGCCTGTGAAGAATATAGGGACGCTGTCCACATGTGTAGAGATAGCATCAGGCAAGCCGAGGCAAAGATGGAGCTGAACTTGGCAAGGGATGTGAAAAATAAAAAGGGGTTCTACAGCTACGTAGGCAGGAGACAGACCAAGAAGATCATAGGTTCCCTCTCTGATAAACGAGGACAGAGAACTGGCTTCCTCAGACATGGAAAAAACTGAGGTGTTCAATAATTGCTTTGCCTTAGTCTTCACGGGTGGTCAGGCTCCTCCCCATGTCTGCCAGGACTCTGAACCTCTAGGTGAGGGTGAGAGGAGTGAATTCTGACCCACGGTAACAGTGGAACAAATCCAAGACCTCCTCATGAAACTTTATGTATATAAGTCCATCAGCTGGGTGGATGGCTGGAGCACCTCTCCTATGGAGAAGGGTTGAGGGAACTGGGCTTGTTTAGCTTGGAGAAGAGAAGGCTGTGGGGAGACCTCATTGTGGCCTTCCAGTACTTGAAGGGAGCTTATCAACAGGAGGGGGAATGGCTGTTTGCAAGCATGGATAGTGACAGGACAAGGGGGAATGGTTTTGAACTGAGACAGGGGAGGTTTAGGTTGGATATTGGGAGGAAGTTTTTCACACAGAGGGTGGTGATGCACTGGAACAGGTTGCCCAAGGAGGCTGTGGATGCCCCATCCCTGGAGGCATTCAAGGCCAGGCTGGATGTGGCTCTGGGCAGCCTGGTCTGCTGGTTGGCAACTCTGCCCATGGCAGAGAATTGAAACTAGATGATCTTTGAGGTCCTTTTCAGCAGGCCATTCCATGATTCTACAATTCTGTGATATTATACCCACAGCAAGGTGACTGTTTTATAATCACTGTAAATTAACAACGTCGCTGATTCTGGGAAACTTGAGCACTTTTTTATACATACATTTATGCATAATTCAGTATAAGTAGCAGATATGTAGTAAGTGTAGTACCAGAGACAGGATTTTTTTTCTGGAACTTGATCCTGGAAGTATGTATAACCCTGAGCTTTCCACATCTGAATTTGTCTATCCAACAGAACACTGTAGAACAGTCTTGTCCAACCCACATCCCACAAACTGCATGCATATCTGGACAGCTAATAATGCAATCCCACAAGATTGTAAATTTTTAACCTTTATTTGTGATTTTTTAAATGTTTTTCATGAGTCAATTTCATGTAGCTTGAGTACAGACTGCATAGGTGACAACAGAATGCTGTGGAGAGAAGTGCATTAGTGCAGTGCTAACTCCACCTTTCGTGCCTGCCATACACACTCTGTTGAATTGAAACCTATTTGTATTGCATGTTACGTGCACTTGTGTCAGTTGGTGAGTAAAAAACATTGATTGCTAATAATAATATTTTGGCCTATCTGCATGTGTGTGTGCCTGTGGTGCCCTGGCAATGGTTGGTAAAAAAAGAGGAACTTAAAAAACTAACAGAAAATGAGGTAGTTGCCACTGGCAACTTGCATTTGATGAAATATCTCTGCATCTTACATCAAGAAAATTTATGTTCGTAAGCTTTAAAAATGGATAATATCATGCAAATGATTGTCAAAGCTATGAGTTTCATAAAGTCCAAGTGATTGAATCATCACCAGTTCCAGGAGTTCCTTAGAAGCAGAGATGCTGTTTATGGGGACATTATTTACTTTTCCAAAGTAAGGTTGCTAACTATGGATAAAATGTTAAAAGAGATTTATGATTTTCAAACTGAAATTAAGGTAATTATGGAATCAAAAGGAAAATTTGTGCCAGAACTTGAGGATGAAAAATAACTCGTGTTCATTAGCATTTTTGGTGGATTTGACCACTCTATTTAAACAAGTTAAACATCGAACTTCAAGGAGAAAATCAACTTATCTGAGCTGTATTTCAGGCCATAACAGCATTCAAAATGAATCTTAAATTATGGCAAGCTCAAGTTACAGAAAATAATTTTATTCATTTTGATACATTGGCTAAACACACTCCTGTAACTGAAAAATAAAAGCCTTGCTTTCCATTTTGATAAAGGAATTTGAGAATTGATTTCAAGATTTCTGAAAAAATCATCTTTTTTTTTTTTTTTTTTTTTTTTTATATATTCATGATTCCATTTTATGTTGACATAAATACATTACCTGTGAATTTTCAAATGGAATGTATAGAGTTGCAATTAAACATTCAACTCAAAGAAAAATTTGGACAGGTCTCTTCACCAGACTTCTATAAAACCTATCTTGCTGGAGAAAGATATCCTTCATTTCAAAATCATGCTCTGTCAACACTTTTTATCAGGATGTGTGTTTGTGAACAACTGTTTTCAAGGATGAAGCACAGGAAAAGTAAAATTAGATCAAAAATCTCTGATGAGCATCTTGATAACTTGTTAAGAATTGTAACCACTTCCATCAAATAAGACACTGATGCATTAGTTTCACAAAAACAGGGTCAGATATCCTACTAATATGTTTTTGTTGCCCTCTTTTTTTATCTGTTTTAATAGAAAATGCTTTAAAAAAACAAACAAACAAAAAAAAAAACGTTTTGTTACTTGTATACACGAACTATGCTATGTATGATATGTATTTTGTATACAGCCCAAGACAATTCCTCTTCATTCAGTTTGACCCAGGCAAGTCAAGATGTTGGACACCCATTATGTAGAACGTGTTTATCCACATCTAGGAATGTTCTCAACAGGTTTGGAATATCTGTTCCTATGCCTATAAAAAATCTAGATCATCATAATTTGGTCAGCTGGGATCTAGGGTCTTCGGGCTTTGGAAGGGTAGCAGTCTCTTACTTAATTCTCCATCTCCATGCAGACTTGAAGAGCTGTTAACTGCAGTTAACTTCAGCAGAGAGAGCATTAGTTCTCAAAACTGAAATATGCAGTAACTTTAATTTATTTTTCTCTCTCTGTTTTGCTGTTTATTCACTAGGGATGTGAGTTAATTGAGACCATGGATCAAGATTTAACAGACTTCACCAAGTGCCTTCAGATACTCCAGAAAAAGATAGAAGAGAAGGGTCTCCAGGTAACGACACAACTTTGTTTCTTCTTGTTTGTATCTACTCTTCATCTCAACATAGATTTATGTTTGCACTGAAATGAAGCAATATTTTCAGTAGCCATTCTGAGGTTTTGCCATATTATTGGCAGACATTGTAAACCTTGATGATTCTGCTGAATAGAATTACTGAGTGTGTCAATGCACAAGTGTTGGTTTTCCTAAAAGGCTGCTTCTGTTGGTTTCTGTTAATGAACAAGTCAAAATGCAGAAGACAGTTGTGGCTGATGTTCAAAGTAAGAGCCCTACTTTAGAATGTAAAAATGTTTTCAAGTCTTGGCATGCTGAGACTTAATGTTCATATCTCCTTGATCTCCTCCCGAAGATGAGATGGGAAGGAGAACCTTATTCTGTCAGCATTGCATATGGTGAGCAATATCTCCTTTTGCAAAAGGTTCCCCTGAAATCCAAGAGAACCTTAGCAGAGAAAGCAATGCACTAAACTTAAAAAGAGCCATTTGGAGTTGTGAGCTGATCTTTCATTTGAAACGCATACAAGGCACCACTTCCTTTCCCCTTCCACAGCTTGGTTTCAGAAGCCCTCCTGTTTCAATTCTCTGAGATGCAAAGTTACAGTTTTTCAAGAATTTCCAACAAGATGATCCGATGGCAGGTATGCTCTTGGAATTGCTGCCCATGGAGCGTTCCTTCGTAAAGGCTGAGCTCTCTCCTCCTCTCTCTACCACTGGATGAAGAGTTGAGAGGAAACAACTGTTGCATGCTCTTACCAACACTGAGGGCAAGAGGCTTATAAGAAAATGAATGCAAGAGCACAAGATGGAAGGGCATGTATATGTCGTCCTTTCCCATTTTCATTGTGGCAGGACAGGAAAGTTCAGTGGCAGTTTGAGATCTTTTGTCTCCAACAAGGCAGCAAGAGATGGAAATGTCAATATCACTCACTCTTTTTTTTCTCCTCGCTCCAAGCGGATGCATAATTACCCATGTTTTGCTGAAGTTGTTTTGAAATGTCTGAATATTCTGAATGAGATGTGTCCATGGAACCCTTCAGAGTGCTGTTGCACAGAGTCCAGTACACACTGTTAATCATTAGTAATTTTTTCTGCCATTAGTATAGACAAAGATGGGAGAGTTTCTCAGGCACCTTTCTGAAGTCATTGAACCAGTTTCTCCTCAGCTGAGACACAGACCTGTAGGAAGAAGAGAGATTTTCCTCATATTGTCAAAGTAGACTAGCCACTTCATCCACCGTTGGTTGTTTGTTAATCTTTCCAGATCACTCATGCCAGGATGCTGGCATACAATGATGGGTGCACTAAACAAACTCTGCCACATAGATTGCATGCATTTGACTTTATCTGTATACTGAGATGGCATATTATCATCCAAATTAGTATCATACACCATCTCTATCACAGGTAATTCTCCCAAATACTGGATACCTTTCTCCACGGTGGTCCATTTACCTGGGTAACATTGCAGATCTTCTTTGAAGGGCTATCTTTTCTTCACAGCTTACAAGGTCGCTGCCATAGAGTGAAGGATTGTATCCCTTTTTCAGTCACTTTGTCAATGCAACTTTCCCTAGAAAGACAGCCTAGTTGCTTGGCTTCACTGCCAATTAAATCCAGGTTGTTACTCCCATTATCCTAGCACTGGACAGCCAGGTGACAACATGTTCGCCTGGACAATGGCTGTAATCTTTTCACATATCTCATATCTCACTCAGTTTTAGGGGACAGATGGTTTCTGTCTCCTTTGCGAGTTCTGCCTCTCCTTCCTTCTTCCATTCTTGTGATGCCCCTTTTTCATCTTCATCTTCTGTCTTTGTAGGAATTTCTCTCCTTACTAAATGATCTGACTTTTCTAGCCATTTCTTCCTTTTGCTTATAGGGGCAAATGATACTGGTACTGGCTTGTTCTCTGATTGTACCGTGGGTCTTGGCACAGGGATTGGAACAATCACAGGGCCCGTCACAGGGATTGGAGTGACTACAGAGTGGGTCACAAGGGTTGGGGCAACCTCAGGGTTGTCAGAAGGGTTAGAGCAACCGCAGTCCCGTTTACAGGAATTGGTGCAACCACAGGACCCATTTCATGGCCTGGAGCAGCCTGTTCTAACAGAGGTTAGAACATCCACAAAGTCTGCTGCAAGTATTGGATCAACCACAGTTGGTTCAGGGTCTAAAAGTGGAGAGAGAAGTTGTTCACCTGCATTTGCATTTACGGCTTGAAATACAAACTTACATGTTACAATGTGGATTTTTTTTCTCCTTCAGGAAGAAAATATCATAAAAGCTTTTAGCTTGGAATATTATCTAGGTGGAATATGTTTTCCTGGTTCCAGGTGAATGAAATTGTATTTCTGCAGCTTTGATTTTTACCTGTTGTCTTAATCAGAGACACTACAAGCCTGTTTCCCAATTATTTATAGTTGAAATTACTAGACAAGGAAACTATCTCTTCAGTATTAAACAAATATATATATATATATATATATATTTTTTTTTTTAAGAAAGGAAAAAGATTTGAGTTATGCTGTGTTTGCTACTCTTTCTGGGTAGCAATATGTTAAGCTAGGAAATTAATTTAAATCAGCACATACTGTGGACCCATAATCCAGTGACATAGTTTCTCTGGATGAAATTCTAATGCAAGACGCTGAAATATTTGAAACTGATGTTCTTCAGTTCGTGAAAAAGTAAGGTATCATTTATTTGCTACACTGGATGGATAGAAGTTTTGCTCTGGTCTATTAGTCACCTCTGTTGAGGAGGTTTTTGAGCTTTTGGGAGCTTATGTGGGAATATTTTTTTCCAAACAAATTAAGTTCTGGTGGTTTGTTTTCCATTTCTGCATCTCTGTCCTCCCTCTCTTCTTCATTCCCACTCACCCAAATTGCTTGTGAACAAATGACGTATGAACAGAGGAACAGCATGTTGAAAGGTAATTAAGTTGTACAGCTTTCTTGCATGTGGTCACTTGAGCGGGAGACGAGGTGAGACAGATGCTTTGTACCCCCTAAGAAGAGAAGGCTGCAAAGTTAGTTCAGATTTCACTAGTTATTGGAGAATTCAGTTTGAGAAGAAGCCTTAAAAATGCTTTTACCACAAGGAAGAGTGCAATTGGAGTTGACCGTTTACTCAGATCTGGTAGAAAAAAACACCTTGTTAGTTCTTGAACTGCTTGTTTGATAATGAACAGTGGTAATGCTGTCTTCTAAAATAATTTGCCAAGTTCATCAAAACTTTTTCCCTTTCTCAAAGGAAAACTCTTAGAAAGTGTCTGAGTCCTCAAAGCCATTCATTTCTGATTTCCATTATGAAATGTAGTATCATATTTCGCTTGCTTAGCCAAGGCGTGCAGAAAGCAGTTTTGGGATCATTTTATGATACTTGAGTCACCTGTGTACATTTATACTCATTGCAGTGAATGTTAGAACAAGCAGTACCCTGCATTTATGAAAGTTAGAATCAGTCCTAGTTTTCCCTTTTCACGGTGCTAATTCATTTGTGGACTGAATTGTGCCGGATGGGTGAGGCAGTGAAGTACCATGAACTAACATATAGGCTGTTATACAAGGGCTGTTCTGAAAATACTGCCTCTCACTTTATTATGTTGGTTTATGATGTCAAAGGTGGATGTTCATGGTATGGCAGTAGGTGTTGAGCCAATACTCCATTAAATTTTGTTTCTGTGCGACAGATGGTAGCAGTGGGGCAGTCTGATAAAATGGTGTCTGACATGGAAGTGCATATGAAGCAAAGGTATGGAACTGAATTCCTCCAGGCAGAAAAAATTGCACCCATTGACATTCATTGGCATTTGCTGAACATTTATGGAGACCAAACAGAGGATGTTTGCATAGTGAGATGGTGGGTGGTACATTTAAGCAATGGCAACAGCAGTGTGAATGACACTCCTCATTCCAAATGGCCAACGAACATTTTTATGAGTGCAGCAGGTATGCATTGCTGTTCATTGCTGACAAAAATGCATAACTGATGGCGATGACTACATTGAAAAATAGTGTTTTGTAGCTGAGAATTTGTTCTATCAAATTTTATTCTTGTGCTCTTTGTATCTGTTGTAGTTTCCATGGAAATAAATGGGAGGCATTACTTTCAGAACAGCCTACATGTATTGCTTTCTGTATGACTGTGAGTACGGGTGAACACATGCATGTATGTAGGTTGTATGTGTACCCACAACTTTTCTGGCAGCATACCTTCCTGTTCCTTTGTTTCTGATTGTTTTTTTGTGTGTGTTTTGTTTTGTTTTTAATGTCTCAGTAGCTCTGTTTTCTGACATTTGTTTCTTCTACCGTGTTAATTGTCTATTCAATGTTATGTATGCATATTTTGTTTTATTGCTTTAATCAGTATCCTATTCTTTCTGTGTTTATGTGACATAGCTTTTGTTTCTTTGTTACAATACCTTCAAATAAACTTATTTTCGGTAATTTCAGTAACTGTGTTATGTTCTTAGCTTTGACTTATGTAACACAAACTATTTCAAAACACTATGTGAACTGGCAAAAAGATAGATTTGCTTACAGTATCCTTCTTAGAGATGAACAGATCTTACATTAAAAGTCAGATAAAAAGTGAAAGCTGTGTTTTGTGGATCGGGAATCAGAGGTGTAGAAACAACAACTCTGCAGTCTCCCATTCTGCCAGCAGCACAGTCGGGGATAATCTTCCAGTTCTCAGTCTTCATACAGTGATCTTGCCCTAACACTCCCCAGTCTCACTCGCAGGCGGTTGCAGCAGCATTCTTCATTAAGAAGTGGGAATTTGTTTATCAATTATGCAATTCCAAGGAGAATCTGCATAACATTATGGTAAGTTTAAGCCATTATCTTCATCTTGGAGTTACAAACTGCACTCTGTTTCATCTACAATACCGTTCAGTCTTAAAGCTAAGCTCCAGGACTACTTTATGTTTAACTTCCATTATCTTTTCTGCTTGAAAGTTAAAGCAACTCATTTGCTTATATGAACTGA